CTCTCCTACAAGGAGGGAACTGAAATCCAAACAGTACATCTACGATTTGGTGACTTTATGGAAGGAAACTACTCTCTAAGAACACTCCAGGCAATAGCAAATGGGGGTTTCGGTGCTAATAAAATAGTATCAGTCGAGTTTGCCGACAGATGTAAACCCCCAGCCTTGAGTTATGATTATTCAAACTGTTGATCATTTATGGGGGAGGTTACGAAGCGGTTGGTCAATATTGACCAATTCGTATCTGACCTACGACTCATATAAATATTACAATGTTACAGATTTGGATTATATCGACTACTTCCTACACCTTATATGAGATATGTACAAATTTATAGAAAATGTGGCTATAAGCGTGAGGTAACAGATATAGTCGACCGAAGAATTCCGCTTTCATACTTCATCTAATACAGATAAAAATATTGGTATGGGCAAAATTGTTGGAAAATCGAACATTTATATCCAATTTTATGCGAAATCATAAATTTTGATAAATCACATATTCATCTCAGGTTTCTGGTTGAGAGAAATATTTACGAGTGGATATAGCCAGCTGTAAAGAATCGCTGATTTGTTTCACAAGTTATGGCAGATAAGAATAATGAAAATTGTGACTCTTTGTGGGTTAGATGGTACCTAACTCAGAAAGAAACCAGTAAAGAAAGTCCTAAAGTCGAGCGGGTCCGATTTTATGGTACCCTACACCACTTTGCTAATTTAGTTGAGCTCCACCAAATAATTAAAAGTTTTTATGGGAGAATTCAATCATACACCCTATGATTATAATTATAATTTACAATTCAAAAGACTAAATATGCCGAAGCATTTGTATCTTTTAAATTCGGACTTGTATTGCCCATTTGGTGCAAAATAATTTGAAATCTGATAAACATATATATGGGAGCTATATCCAAATCTGAACCGTTCTCGATAACATTTGGCAAAGATATTTCTGAGCTGCATTTGATATATTTCCCTGAATATCGTTGTTAGGGAGTGCATATTTCGGCTGTGGGTAACATATACAACAAATAGGATTGAAAATATATATGGGAGCTGTAGCTATTTCTGAACCGATCTTCACCAAATTTGACATACTAGCTTCTAGACTAAATTCGGCCGTATGTGCCGAATTCCATCCGATTTGGGCAAATATTAGACGTTTGGTGCACAATAAAAGGTAAATTGGACGAAGTTATATATGGGAGCTATATCCAAATCTGAACCGATCTCGATAAAATTTAGCAAATTTATTTCTGAGCTGTATTTGATATATTTTCCCTAATATCGTTGTTACAGAGTGCATATTACGGCTGCGGAGGACAAAAATAACAAATCGGGCGAACAATATATATGGGAGCTACAGCTATATCTGACCCTTTGTGAGGTGGGTACTCGATGGAGTGGACCGATATTATAAATTTCGCACCTGACCTAGCACTGGTGCAAATATTAGGATTTGCAAAGTTGGAGCAAAATCGGATTATCCTGTCTGTTTCTGTGCAGTAATTTTTTTCTTTGGAAATTTCGACCTTTTGTGGGGTGGACCAATATTGCCCATCTCCGAACTCGATCTAAGTTTGATAATAACATTACGATGTACCAAGTTTGTACCAAATCGGATACTTCATTTGAGGGTTATCGTGCGCACCAACCAGAAAGACGAACGGACAGAATTTGTATAAAAAAGTGTTGTTGTGGGTCATAATGAAATATGGCGAAACATTTTATAGATCCACGTTTTTGTATAGCCCCATATAACGGTACCTCCCGAAATTCGATATTTTGATGATTTTTGACACATTTTTTCAAGGATTTGTCTGAAAATTGGTATTTGTAGGATATAATGGGTTCTAACTCGTGTGGTGAGACATTGTAGGTATAGTTCCACGTTTTGATATAGCCCCGATACAAGGGTACTTCCCGATATTCGATATTTTGATGATTTTTGACACATTTTCCCACGAATTCGTCTAAAAATTGATATTTGTATGTCGTAATGGGTTCTAGCTCGTATGGCGAAACATTGTATGTATAGGTCCATTTTTTGGTAGAGATCCCATATAACGGTAACTCACGCTATTCGATATTTTGATGATCGTTGCCATATTTTTTCATGGATTTGTCGAAAAATTGTTATTTGTAGGTCATAATGAGTTCTAGCTCGTGTGGCGAAATATTGCATGTATAGTTCTTCGTTTTGGTGTGGCTCCCATACAAGGGTACCTCCCGATATTAGGTTTTTGATGATTTTTGTCAATTTTTTTCACGGATTCGTCTAAAAATTTGTTTTTGTGGTTCATAATGGGTTCTAGCTCCGGTGGCGAAACATTGTATGTATGGGTCCACATTTCGGTATAGCCTCAAATACCTGTACCTCCAGATATTCGGTGTTTTGATGATTTTTAAAAAAATTGTTTAAGGGATTTGTCCAGAATTCGGTATTTGTAGTTCATAATGGGTAGGTCCACGTTTTGGTAAATCCCCCATATAACGGTACCTGCCGATATTCGATATTTTGATAAAAATTGGTACTTTTAGTTCATAATGGGTTCTAGCCCGGTGGCAGAACATTAAATATTTCGTTCCATGTTATCCTATAGCGCACATGTTTCCTTTATCCTTAGGTGAAGGGTATTAAAAGTTCGCCACGGCCGAACTTAATGTTTTTACTTGTTTATATTTCTGTTGTAATTATACCCTACAACACTATGTATTGGGGGTATTATAAGTTTGATTGGGCCAAAAATTATGTAACACCTCGAAATATTGGTTTCCCACATAGGAAAGTATATATGGGTCTTCCTAGCTCGCCGAGCTGAGTCGATCTAGCTATGTATGTCCGTCCGTCCGTCCGTCTGACCGTCTGTCCATGTTAATTTGTAATCAAGCTACAGGTCGCAATTATGAACCGATCCTCAAATTTGAAATTGAAAATGGAGGTGGGGTTAGGGAGAGAATAGAACCCTATTGTTTTTGGAGATGATCGCACGATATTTAGGGGTTGAAATGGACCAAAAATAGAAAATTTTCCTGATTTTGCAGTTGCTCTATAGGTCATAATTATGAATCAATCGACGCGAAAATGTACATAGAGTTAGAGTTTTGGAGTGGACAGAAACCTACCAATTTGGGAGGCCATCGGACAATACTTTTCAACCCCAGCCATATCACAACTACATTAAAATATCACTTGTGACCATTACAGTGATGCTAATAGCTAATAAATCGGATTTATAGCGAAATAGGTACAATATATATGTAAAAGAATTGATCTTATTTATTCTGCTTATACATTAAGAACCGCTGGGCCGATTTCCACAATTCCCATCAATTCGGAATGGTCTTTTGCCAGAAAAGCAGAAAATCTAAGAAAATCGCGGAAAAATATACCAATAAGAAAGTTCATATATTTTTTGTTCCATTTTTTTCAATTCTTGTCATATTTTTTATCGCATGCGATTTTTTCAATTTGAGTTACAATTTTGAATTTTAAATTTTCTAAATGTTTACCCATTTCAACACTACGTTTTGAGGGTATTATATGCATGTCGTATTTATCGTCCGATCCTCACGAAATTTGGCATTGAGTAGGGTTAGGGTCAGAATTAAAGCCTATTGTTCTTAAGATGTACATTTAGACGTGCAAATGGACTAAAAAATTGATTTTTTCTAATTTTGTAGTCGCTCTATAGGCCACAATTGAAACTAATCGACACGGAATTTCGCATCGGAAGAGAGTTAAGGACAGGGAAGAAGTCTAGCATTTTGGATGACCATTGGAGTACATTTAGCTGTAAAATGGACCACAACTTTCACAAATTTTGCCAAATTCTCCGGGCCAAAAAACTAAGGGTAACCTCTGGGCTGGGCTTTTTGACATTATTTCAAAAACGAAATCTTCTAAAATGGATTTGGATATAAGGGGACCTGAACATATTGTAGTGTTGCAGGGTATCACATGGTCGGCCCCGCAACTCTATAGCCTTTGCTTACTTGTTTAGTCTATAATTTATATAAGTTTGAAAATTTTTCCACTTATAGTTTAGTTATCAGTGTCGAGAATTGAAAAAATGCAAGAAAAATGAAGGTTCCCTCTAAGACACCAATAGATAAAAGTCCTTCGATTAACCTCCCATAGCTAGAAGATCTTCTGTTGCATTTTATCTAGGTCTTCTGTGAACCGAATAACTTCTCCTCAGCCTTCTGTGTAACCTCTGTGAATAAAGACCCAATAGACGAAACTTACTTTAATGCAACATTTGTCAATCAGAAAACCCTCCTTCAAAATTGTAACGGATTAAGAAAAAGAAACGAAACAATAAATTGTTAATTATTTCTCCACTTAAGATTGTTAAGAAGTCCCCATTTAAGGGGTCCATATAATCCCGCAATGCCACAATACAACTAACAATGGTTTTAACATTTATACATGTGTCCTGTGTGTACATTTGGCATTGGCCAAGTTCCGTACTTCATCGCATTACCACTACCATTACAATCCAACAACAAGGACAACAATAGAATCAAAAACAGAAAGTTTTATGTGCAACAGGATAAAGGAATGTTCATGGCAGAGAACTAAGAAAAAAAAATAAAAACCAAGGAAATTCTTGTGGTTAATTGCTATGTTTCTTCTCCTTAGGAAAGTGTAAGGAAGGGGAGGAAATTATGGTGGGGTAGCAGTGAATTGTGGCATTAAGCTGACTGACAAGTGCTTCAAATTAGCCATGGCCACAGCTTAAATACTTAGACGAGTTTAAGTGTTTCACTTCATCTTCTTGTTCTTCTGTTGCTGCTGCTGCTGTTGTATCGGCTTTGTCACAATTACTGTTGCAATTGCTGGCTTTTAATCTCAGGGACATTGTTGCCAAGGGAATTTTTAATAACGAGGACTTAATGTGGCATTTGTGAGTACGTACCTACATATGTTTGGCTGTGTGTGTGTATGTGTGTTCATTTGTGTGAAGTGAAAATAAGAGTTGCATTTTGTGACTTACCTCCGCCATTTTTGTAGCACAAATATGGAAACCGCCAGACGTTTGCTAAATCCACAGCGAATCCTATAACGGATAATAAGAAATCGACTTTGCCGCTCCATGTTTCACGTTCATCGGGACTATCGCTGATGTCACGTGGCGTTGTGGTCTTAGCTGTTTGTCTGTTAGGTGACATCGCCAAGGCGATGCCGTTTTCTTCGTCTTCTAAATCTGCAAAAAAAAAAAAAAAAGGAATGAAAATAGGCATTTCAAAAGAATTGAAAAATAAGGTCATTCTGTAAATATTGGAAACCTAATAAGAATGGTACTTTTGTAGAACACTCATTAAATATGGGTCTAACACGGCGTTACCTAAAATTCGAGGTAACGTACAGCCCTCTTATAATTATGGTACCTCCCTATATTCGGCATTTTGATGGTTTTAGTCATATTTTCCACGGATTTGTCCATAAATTGGTATTTGTCTACAAATACTTATACAAATACGTTATTGGTTCTAGCTCCGGTGGAGGAACATTGTATATATAGACTCACGTTTTCGTATAGCCCCCATATAAGGGTACTTCACGATATTCGGTATTTTGTTGACTTTTTTTCTTAAAAAGGGTATTTGCAGTTCGTAAAGGGTTTTAGCTCCGATGGAGGAACATTTTACATATAGATGCACGTTTTCGTATAGCCCCCGTATAACGGTAGTTCCCGATATTTAGAATTTTCATGATTTTATCGACATTATTTACCGGAATTATTTCAAATTTCATAATTACAGTTTTTAATGGGTATTACAGCCTATGACAACAATTTTTGTATTCAGGTCAATGGGGGCTATACGAACCCCATATAATGGTACCTCCCGATATTCGGTATTTTGATAATTTTAGCGAGATTATTCACCAGAATTGTTTCAAATTTGGTATTTGAAGTTCGTAATAGATGCTACAGCCTATGACAGAAATTTGTCGGTGCAGGTCCACGTCTTCGTATAGCCCCCGTATAACCTGCCTATATTCGGTATTTTGATGATTTTAGCGGCATTATTCTCCGGAATTATTTTAAACTTGGTATTTGAGATTCGTAATGGATACTACAGCCTATGACAGAAAATTGTCTGTGCAGGTCCACGTCTTCGTATAGCCCCCATACAACGGTACCTCCCGATATTCGGTATTTTGATGATTTTAGCGGCATTATTCACCGGAATTATTTCAAATTCGGTATTTGAAATTCGTAATTGATACTACATCCTATGACAGAAAATTGTCTGTGCAGGTCCACATATTCGTATAGCCCCCATATAACGGTACCTCTCTGTATTCCGTATTTTGATGAATTTAGCGTCATTATTCTCCGAAATTGTTTCAAATTACGTATTTAAAGTTCGTTATGGGATCTACAGTCTGTGACAGAAAATTGTCTATGCAGGTCGAGGTCTTCGTATAGGTTCCACATACCAGCACCTCCCTATATTCGGTATTTTGACGAGTTTAGGTACAATACCCACCGAAATTGTTTGAGATATCGTATTTGACGTTAGTAAGGGATGCTATAGCCTGTGACAGAAAATTGTCTATGCTGGTCCAGGTCTTCGCACGGATCCGATATAACCGTACCTCCCTATATACGATATTTTCATGATTTTAGCTACATTATTCACCGTTTATTTCAAGTTTCGAATTTGAATATGGCAATGGCTAATGGCAAACAAAGCCTATGTAGGTCCACGTCATATAGACACCAATATAACGGCTATATTCGGTATTTTTAAAATGTTAACAGAATTTAAAAATGGCGGAGGGTATTCAAAGTTCGGCCCGGCCAAAATTACTGCATATTAACTTGTTTTTATTTTCAGATTATTATAGTATGTTGATATTACAACTTTCAGATAAAAATATGTTTGGAATATTCGCACATGAAACTTTTTTATAAAGAAGTCAAAAAAACGTTTTATGTATTCTCACCTCTATGTATATATTAGATGGGAACACGTTTTCTATTCCGATATACTTTTTCAAGGAAAATTACGGCCTCAAGGAGTTGAGATAAAAATCGGGGTCTTAATATTTTTTTAATATTATGTGATATCACCTAACATCAGATCACTCCTCATTGTCTAAAAATACCAAAACAGATATTTTTTTATTTGATGCTATTTTTACACTTTTGGTATAGAAAATAAACAATACTGGCAATTGTTTAATTTCAATACAAAACATGTAAAAATGTCATATAAAACAATAAAAATATATAAAATACCCCTTCCCCAACTTACCCCGCACACACATTCCATCACCCACAACATTCTATTGTCAACATTTGTAAAGATTCGAAAAAAAATGTAAAATTCATAGCAGGCCGAATGAAATGTTACCTACTTTACTTAACCTTTTGATGTCAAAACCGCATCCAACACCAACTCCAACAACTTGACCATTGGTTAAACATTTGTCTGTAATGGACAGGTTGTTGTTTTAAATATAGGCATATTCATAGACATGGATAGACACCCATTTACAATGGCTCGCTCATTGACAGAATAGCAGCAGTACTTGAAAATCTGTTACGGAAATCCCAGAAAACGTCATCGCTTTTGTACCTGTTGTGGTGTGAATGTAGGCAAGTAATACTGTGAAGTTTGGGATGTTTTGGCAATAGAGCAGAGACTGAGGGAGGAAGAGAGTGTGGGATAGAATCAACCAATATTGACCATCTGTCTGTCTGTTCGTTAAACATTCTATTTTTTTAATGAATGTCCGCGACAATTTCGCTGTTTGTATTTCTGAACACCCAGTTTCGGTGACCATGCTTAGGAATTGAAAATATCAAAATGCAAATGATTTAAACTAGTTGAACAAGTTTCTGGCATTAAAAAGAGTTGTTGTTGTTGTTGTTGCCGTTGACTTGTTCTAGTTATACATACTGCCACAAACAGAGCTGGACCAGAACTAAAATATCTTTAGAATGCTTTCATATTCATATGAGTTTGTTAGGGTGGAATTGGTCAACAATTAAGCCGATTCGTTCGTAAATATAAAACATGGTATTATTAACAAGTTAAAAAGTAGTAAGTTCGGCCGGGCCGAACTTTTAATATCCTCCACCATTTGGAACGAATTTGGAAATAAAATCCTTAAAAAATTCTGTTAAAATTTTAAAAATACCGAATATAGCCGACGTGGACCTACATGGGCGTTGTTTGTCATAAGTCATTACCATATTCTAATTCGAAACATAAAATAAACTGTGAATAATGTAGCTAATATAATAAATCAAAATATCGTATATAGGGAGGTAGCGTTATATCGGAGCTGTGCGAAGACCTGAACCAGCATAGACAATTTTCTGCCATAGGCTGTAGCATCCATTTTGATTTGATGATCAACAACAATTTCGGTGGGTATTGTACCTAAACTTGTCAAAATACCGAATATAGGGAGGTACTGGTATGTGAGACCTATACAAAGACCTCGACCTGCATTGACAATTTTCTGTTACAGCCTGTAGCATCCATTACGAACTTCAAATGCCAAATTTGAAACAATTCCGGAGAATAATGACGCTAAAATCATCAAAATACGGAATACAGGGAGGTACCGTTATATGGTGGCTATACGAATACGTGGACCTGCACAGACAATTTTCTGTCTTAGGTGGTAGTATCCATTTTGAACTTCAAATGCCAAATTTGAAACAATTCCAGTGAATAATGTCGCTAAAATCATCAAAATACCGTTTATCGGGAGGTACCGTTGTATGGGGGCTATACGTAGACGTGGACCTGCACAGACAATTTTCTGTCTTAGGCTGTAGTATCCATTTCGAACTTCATATGCCAAATTGGAAACAATTCCGGTGAATAGTGTCGCTAAAATCATCAAAATACCGAATATCAGGAGGTACCGTTATATGGGGGCTATACAAAGACGTGGACCTGCACAGACAATTTTCTGTCTTAAGCGGTAGTATCCATTACGAACTTCAAATACCAAATTTGAAACAATTCTGGTGAATTATGTCGCAAAGATCATCAAAATACCGAATATCGGGAGGTACCATTATATGGGGGATATACGAAAACGTGGACCTACATGGTCCATTTACGAACTTAACCTGCCTGCTGGAAAAATAAACATGTGTGCAAAATGTAAGCCATCTATCTCAATTCGTTCGAAACATAGCGTGATTACAACAGACAGACGGACAGACAGACAGACGGACATGGCTAAATCGACTTAGAATTTTACGCTGATCAAGAATATATATACTTTGTTGGGTCTCACATGAGTATTTCGAGGAGTTACAAAGGGAATGACAAACTTAATATACCCTCCATAGTACAGGGTTGCCCATATTCGACGGACCCATGACTCTTTGGGCCCATTCCAATCGACGAGGCTTGTCCGCAGGCAACATTCTTTGCGTCAATTAAATTTTGTACGGGAACAAATGCAAATCAATGCGAATAATCCGTTGTAAAGTGGACCGAGCCATGCCCAACTGCTGAGAACGCCGTTTTTGGGATGTTCTTGGGGACCTCTCAACACTGGCTCGTACGGCAGCGATATTCTCGGCCGATCGCCTTGGTCGACTTTTATATGGCCTCTTCGGATTAGGAAGAGCCTTACCAGTCGAAAATTTTTCGTATAAACGCTTAATGGTGTTCTTAGAAGGCGCACTTTTCACATTTTTCAATGTTTTAAAAGCACGTTGAGTTTTCACAATTGACTTCTTCTGTTGAATGTAAATTTCAACTATTTCAGAGCGCTCGCGTGGCGTGTATTGGTTCATGGTAAAAATCTGCTTGGACTGACGCTTCAAACGCGGTATGTCATTAAGCGATGTGACATCTCTGTCAAAAGTTATGGCGTTGCCAGATGGGTCCGTCGAATATGGGCAACCCTGTAAAATAGTACCAGTCGGTTTTGCCGACAGATTTATACCCCCGCCTTGAGTTATGATTATTCAAACTGCTAACCCTTAAAGGGGGAGGTTTCGATGCAGTTGGCCAATATTGACCAAAATTGATAAAAATATTACAATACAATATTCCCAATGAGATATTTGCAGATTTTTGGAAAATGTGGAAATATGCGTGAGGTAACAGATATAGCGGACCGAAGTATTCCATTTTTATACGTCGCAAGTTATTACAGATGTAAGCAGTGGAAATTGCGTGAGGTACCAGAAGGGGTTAGCAGATATATATCATC